TCTCATGAGATGCATTGAGCTCATCAAGAGCTTGCTTAAGGGCTTTTACCTCCTTATTCAAGCTCTTGCATTCCCTTCTCTTAATGTCAAAGTGTTTTTTAGCATCTTCTAGCATGTCAAATAATTCATCTTTAGTAGGTTCATCATCATTACTATCACTATCATTTTCATTATCATGTTCATCATCACTTCACTAGATCCTAAATGCATATGCAATGAGTTAGAGCATTTAGTGGCACTTTGATAACCGTATTTTGATACGAGTTTCACCCCTCTTAATAGTACGGCTATCGATCCTAAATGTGATCTCACTCTCTAAGTGTCTCGATCACTAAAATAAAATGGCTCCTACCACTTATACCTTTGCCTTGAGCCCTTTGTTTTTCTCTTTCTTCTTTTCAAGTCCAAGCACTTGATCATCACAATGGCATCACTATCATCATGTCATGATCTTCATTTGCTTCATCACTTGGAATGTGCTACCTATCTCATGATCACTTGATAAACTAGGTTAGCACTTAGGGTTTCATCAAATCACCAAAACCAAACTAGAGCTTTCAGTACTCATGAATGATTACTGCCAAATAGAACTTCTTGAGACTTGTCTCATAATCATATATGTAAGGAACAACAGTGCTAACATCTTTCCCAAGGTCTTTTTCAGCCCTGAGTTGCATCTGTCCTTTGACAATACTATGACATGACTTCAAATGATTACAAAATGCATTTGTTCCATTATTGGACTCAGCCCTGTACTTATGCTTGCAATGTGGGAAATTGCAATGGCCCCACAGCTGCTCATACTTCTTGCCACCCTCCTCTATGACAATAGTGCGCTTGGTGAAATACTTTCACACAGTAGAGGTGCACCTCTTCGTCCTCTTTGATGACCCCACAACCTTCTCTTCATCATCGTCACCATCAAGGGCCACTATATCTGCAGCAGCAACAACACCTGGTTCTTGGGTACTAGGGTTAGTGTTACCCCCATCAACTTCAGTTCCAGGTCCACTGCCACCACCAGTGCTAGTGCCAACCACTTGATCTGCATTCTTTGTTGCTGAAGATGAGGCTAATACATTGTGTGGTACACTCTGATTCTAACTGCCAACTTCACTCGCTTTCCTCTTGTTGCCTACGAAAAAAAATCAACAATAATGCAAGTATGCAACTTGAGTCTATTTGTGTGCAACTGAGTCTGACATCTCAACAAGTGACTAAGTGAGACTGTGAGAGACATACCTGCTGCTGCTGAAATGGATCCGGATCCACTGGTGCTGCCTATGATAGGAGATGGTGGTGGTGGTGGCGCCGGCAGGAACATGGTGCCCAGCCCCAAGTATTTCTCAGGCGGCATGGAGGTGGACCCGAGACGTCCAGCTCCAGCGCCTCCAGGACACGAGTCACGCGACATCAGGAGGAGGAGGCAACCGTCGAGCGGCGGGGGGGCGGGGGGAACGACTGGCGATGGGGGCCGCGGGGATGGGCTTGCGGCGGGGGCCGCGGGGATCGGCCGCCGGCGGTGGCCGCTGGGGTCGTTGGGGCGCCGTGTCGGGTACTCAAGGCTCAGGCCACAGCGGGGGTCGGGGTGGCGGCCGTGAGGAGACTCGAGAGTCGAGACAGGAGCGAGGAGAGGTAGGGTTAGAAGTTTTGGGCTGGATGGGCCTTTACTACTGTTATTGGGCTTCACCCGTATTTGAAGAATCCGGGTCAAATCCGGGTCTTTTCTGCCTAAATACGGGAACCCGAGAAAACGGGTGGAAAAAGAGCTACCCCGTTTCCATCCTGATCCCGCCGACTTCCATCCCGCGTCCCGTCCCGTTTCTGGATTTTTCCGATAATACGGAAACGGGCGGTCAAATGTAGAAATCCGGGTGGGTCGGGTCAGAAATTATCCCGTCCGTTTTCAACCCGAGGTGGCAGTACTTAGCTAGTAAGAGTTAGCTAATGTCTTTTTTATTAGCTACATACTCCCTTTGTCTCAAATTAAATCAATTCTTATAGTTGTCTTAAGTCATCAAATGTATTTTTATAATGTACTTATTTGATGTCATAGATGTTGCTGCCCTTTTCTATAAAACTGCTCAAATTTGAAATAGATTGACTTGTGGTGTTTCGAAGAAATGATTTATTTTCAGACAGATGGAGTAGTTTAAGGTATTAGTTGTGCCATTAGCGAAGTTTTTTGTATCCACTAAAGCTAAGTTTAACAGCTAGCCATTAGCTCATAAGGATCTAAGAACAGCTAGAATGAACCGAAAATAAGTGCCGCCACAGCAGTGGCAGAGCCCGGATATTACCTCGATCAAGGTATTCCATACAAATAAAATTGTACATTGTAAATATGCAACAATCCATAGGATCATAAGTCTATAATAAGGAGGAGTATTCGGTGTGGATGTGGAAGCCATTTTCTTTGCCTTCGAATTTTCTTTCCAGTGCGAGGCAAATATGCTAATACTTAACACGTACTCCCTCTTTCCTAAATATATGTCGTTTTCGCTTCTGGAAAAAACAACTTTGACTAAATATATATTAAAATATTAATATTTAAGGTACATAATTAGTATCATTAGAAAGATCTTTGAATCTAGTTTTTAACAAATTTATTTAGAGATACAAATGTTGCACGCATTTTCTACAAATCGAGTCAAACTTGCGGCAGTGCACACCAACGACGACAGTTATTTAGGGACAGAGGGAGTACATATTTATCTGTTGTTACCAAAATCAGGGTTATTCCAATGAATATATTTAGGAATACCCCTCCCGCCGCCTCTGTGCCACGGATAATCTAAGCTCGGTCATTGCTATATCAACAGAACCCCTTAAGCCTTGTTCGGTTATTCCTCATTCTATGGGGGTTAGAGCATCTCTAAGAGTTCTTTAAACTCCCTCCTAATCCTTATTTTTTAAACCTATCTCCAACAACTCCTAATCTTAACTCCTAAAATTTAGGCACTTCGGAAAAACCGAGCCAATCCGCGTAACTTTATGCGCACCGTATCCTTCCCTCGGCGATGCTGGAGAAGTTCCCCAAGGCCGTGGAGCCCGCGCGGTGGTGGTCGTCCGCCACCGCAAATAAAACGAAGAGCAACAACACCACCACCACCCGTCCAGAGCTTGATCGCCGCGACGTCTGCACCACCTCCAACGGGTGGAGCCAGGAGCTGGAGGAGGAGATGCGCGTGCTCCGTGCCAGGGCGTGCACCAGTACCTAACGGTGGGGAAGCTGGTGCTGTCCATCAACCGCGACCTTGCCGTGACGGGCCATCGCTGGCCGGCACCGCCCAGCGGTGGTTGCGGCCTTCATCGGGACCGGCGACGGCGTGGCGTGGGTGTCCGGCGCCCGGCCAGCGGCGCGCGCGGCGCCTTGGGCGGCGGCAAGGAACACGGTGGAGCACGCGCTTGTTGGGCATGCTTGTTTGAGCTGCTTGTGCAAGCTATCACCGGGTTCTACCGCAAGGTGCAGGAGGACATCGAGGCCGCCCTAGGGGACGCCGACGTGGAGCGATGGGAGAACGGGAGGTGTTCCGGACCAAAATCGCCATTGTGGTGGGCGCGATGCGGCTGGAGCTCCGGCAGTTCGAAAGGATGGCGTCGGTGTCGGCGTCGGTGAAGGATGACGACATCAAGGACTACGCCGGGAAACTCTTCTGATTACAGTTCAGGTGGATGTGCATATATACCATCTGACACACTCACTCACTGCTCACTGTCTTGTGCGACGTACGCAGATGTTTTTAGATGCTATTTATTAGAAAATTTTGGAGATGGCCTTCTTTTTTCCTCCGCAAATCTTTTTAGAAGTTGTCAAACTATAAGTTTTTAGAAGAAAAAAAATAAGGAACTCATGGAGATGCTCTTAGTCGGGATTGAGGGGTTCCCTGACCACCTAACAAAACTCATTCCGCCTCTACCTACGCTCCCGCTAGCTCATCTCCATCCATAACTAACACTCCAAGGGATCTTGATCTTATGAGGTTTCAACGTTTCACCGAACATCAACCATCATCGGTGCTTTGTTGTTGCTTCGCATGTCTTTTTTATAGCCACGGGCATGGAATCTGTGTTGTTGACATTGGAGTTTTTCTACGGAGTAGAAGGTAAGTTTTTGCTACGTCGATCATTTTATTCCCACAGTTCAACTCGTCCGTTTGATTTGACGTGAGGAATCTTTCCGTTTCGTGACTAGTGTATAATTCCAACCAAATTTTGTATTGCTTCTATTTCTCTGCGTCTGTTTGACATGGCTTCTCTCTCCGATGCTCCAAAGCAGAATAGGCCCAGTTAAAAAACGGCTAACTCCGCTTGAATATAAAAAAGAAAAAGAAAAAAAGAAAAAGAAAAATATTTCTTCTTTTCTTTCTAAGGTGTTTGGTACAGTTTCTTCGGCTCGCCTATGGAAGCTGCTGTTGAGGTCGAAACCAAAACGTACCAGACAAACCCTATATATAATTTGGTTTTCATGCACACTAGAGCTGCTCTAACAACACGCGTCAAAAAAAACCGGCCCCTACCTACATGCCACGTGGCAATTGCGGTATCAAACAACACGGATAGTACAGTAATTACGTCTCCGACCAACATTGCTCCCCTTCTTCCTTCCTGCGTGTGGGTCAAATGCGAGCCGAGACACAAGCTCATTCCTTTTGCACGCTTTAAAGCTATTCCCACACAACATTCTCGTGGCCTCGTCGATCACTCTTCTTCCTCCGCGCCCCTCCGCACACGCGCACATGCGACCAGAGCTTAGCTCAGCTTAGCTTACACTACTGTCGCCCCCCTCCTCGCACGGAGGTTGTGCACACACACAAACCGAAGCCCTCCCATCCCCCTTCAAACGCGCGCAGCCTGTTCAGCCATGGAGAGTGGCGGCATCATTGCGGCATGTAATCGCCAATGATTGATCTCTCATCGTCTCTTCTTCCAACCACCTCCGCGTCCTCGTCCTCGCCCTCCTCCCTTTCCTGCCCGGCTGCCCGCCTTGTCTCCCCAAAATGACCAGCAACAGCAGCCAGAACATCAGCAGCTGCAGCACCGGCGGAAGCGACGCGGCGGTCGGCGGCGGCGGCGGCGGCAACTGGCTCGGCTTCTCGCTGTTGCCTCACATGGCGGCGACCATGGACTGCGCGGCCGACGGCGCCAGCGGCGTTCCGGTGCAGCAGCACCACGGAGGCCTCTGCTACCCTCCCGTCGTCTGCTCCTCGCCCGCGCCCTTCGGCTACGCTCTCGGCGGCGGCCAAGATGGTCCCGCCAATGCTAGCGGGGGGTTCTACCCCGGGCTCTCCTCTATGCCGCTCAACTCCGACGGCTCCCTGTGCTTCGTGGAGGCCCTCCATAGGAGCGAGCAAGAACGTCACGGTAATAAGCTAGCTCCTCAACCAATGATTCAATGGCATTGTTTCTAGGTCGGCAATGAGATCTTCCGACCACTGGCTCGATCGTACTTGCTACAGTCGAGTTCTTGGCTCGTTGGTTCCTAAACTAGTACGTACGTTTGTTTTTCTATGTTTCTTGGATGGCTCTGACAAGTTCTTGTTTCGTGATCGATCAGGGGTGGTGGTGTCCTCGACATCGCCCAAGCTGGAGGATTTCTTGGGCGCGAGCACCGCGATGGCGCTGAGCTTGGACAGCTCCAGCTTCTACTACGGCGGCGGTCACGGCCACCACGCGCATGGCCACGGCCACGACCAAGGCGGCTACCTGCAGCCGCTGCAGTGCGCGGTGATCCCCAGTTCGGGCGGGCACGAAGTGTACGGCCAGCACGCCCAGCTGGTGGACGAGCAGTCCGCTGCGGCAATGGCGGCGGCGAGCTGGTACTCAGCCCGCGGCAGCGGCGGCGGCTACGACGTCAACGGCGGCGGCGCCATCGTGCCGTTGCAGGGCCACCCGCACCCGCTGGCCCTCTCCATGAGCTCCGGGAAGGGGTCCCAGTCCAGCAGCATCACCATGCAAGTCGGTGCCCACGCCGCCGCCGTCACCGAGTACGTCGTCATGGACGGGAGCAAGAAGCGCGGAGGCGGCAGCGCGGGGCAGAAGCAGGCCGTCGTCCACCGCAAGTCCATCGACACATTCGGGCAGCGCACGTCCAAGTACCGCGGCGTCACCAGGTATCCCCAGTCCCCCTCTCCCGACCGTCCGTACGCCGTGGCCGATGTCGTCGCTGTCGCACCCGCACCATCCGGCGGCGCCCGTCCCGCACGAGTCGCTCACTGGCCGCGTGGTTTCCACCGTGTAAAAGCAGGCATAGGTGGACGGGGAGGTATGAGGCGCACCTCTGGGACAACAGCTGCAGGAAGGAAGGCCAGTCCCGGAAAGGCCGGCAAGGTACGCGCCACTGCCGCCATGGCAGCCTAGCTACGCCTTTCATCTCTCCGTCACCTAGGAGTAGTAGTAGTAGTAAACTCCCTGTGCTAGAGCCTGATGAACTGCACTCCCGTGTCTCCCTGCTGAATCTTCGCCCATGGGGATTGGTTAACTTCTGGGACGACGTACTACTGCCACTGCCTCCCTGCAGTTTATCTCGGTAAGCACGTGCGTTTCGTATTTAATCACTGCTCACTAGGATCAGTAATCCTGTGTGTAGGCAGGTCACATGTTTCAGGTGTCTTTATGAACGAGAGAGGTCTGAGATTTTGTCTCCTTGTGTTTTCTGGTTGGCTTAGGCGGGTATGACATGGAGGAGAAGGCCGCGAGGGCGTATGACCTGGCGGCGCTCAAGTACTGGGGGAAGTCCACACGTAAATTTCCCGGTAATGAACTGAATATACAACGATAGTCTGAATATGGTGTCTTCACAATGTGTGCTGATTGGTCTTGTTGTCGCGGATTCAGATCGAGGACTACAGGGAGGAGCTTGAGGACATGGAGAACATGACCAGGCAGGAGTATGTCGCTCACCTAAGAAGGTACTAATCCTGTTCTGAATTCTGATGGATGTTTGAGTTGTTCGAACAGATTGTGACGGAGCGAATCGATCGCCATTTGTTGCAGGAAAAGCAGCGGGTTCTCGCGTGGTGCTTCGATCTACCGTGGAGTGACCAGGTTTGTGCACGGCCATTCATCACGTGTGGATCAATGCGAAATACTACACGGTCTATTTGCTCGTTGTATGTGCTAGAAGGTTTACTGAAACAAACGCTAGTTGTATTTCCCGCAGGCATCACCAGCACGGGCGGTGGCAGGCGCGCATCGGCCGCGTCTCCGGCAACAAGGACCTCTACCTTGGAACATTCAGTATGTGTTCTTTCATCTTCTCACGCTTCCAAGTCGTTATCAGTGTTGGCTCATCCATCCATCTAGAGAAGCCTGCAATGCAATCTCAACTCCTATCTACTATCACGCATCATGATCACCAGTGCGACTGCTCGCTGCCGGGCTATCCGTTGCCGTCGCAGAGGTGTGTCACGGTTTAAGGACGCAGGGTGTCCAGTCACAATGATCGAAAACCGAGCGAGCATCGCCAATGATGCCCCTGCTCTCTGCGATGCCCTGGCCCACCTCCCCCAAAGAATGTTTTGCCCTCTGCGTGCTTGTGGTGGCTCTCTCGCTCGCGCATGCATCGCCTCGCCGGCCCCAGTGGTCTCGCCCTCGCGAATGCATCCGGCCTCCTTTTCCTAAGGCTGGCGCCGCCGCAGTCGGGGGTCGGGCTCGGGGGGCTGCCCGCGCTCGGCTTTGCGTTCGCACGCTCGATCGCGTCGCTTTCGCGCTTTGCCCGTTTGACCGCTGGCTCGGCCAAAAGCGCATTTCCGATGGCTGTCACACCTGGCGCCTCTCTCGTGTTGGTGTTTAAGCGGCTGTTAAGGTGGAGACGTTTTTGTGCAGGCACGCAGGAGGAGGCGGCGGAGGCGTACGACGTGGCGGCCATCAAGTTCCGGGGCCTCAACGCCGTCACCAACTTCGACATCACGCGGTACGACGTCGAGAAGATCATGGAGAGCAACACGCTGCTCCCGGGCGAGCAGGTCCGGCGCAAGAAGGACGGCGGCGCCGCCGCGGCGTTGGTGCAGGCCGGCGGCAGCTGCGTGGTGGACACCTCGAAGATCCAGGCAGCGGCGCTGCCGGCTGCTGCCGTCGGGCGGGGCGGCGGCGGCGGCCAGCAGCAGCAACAGCACCAGGACCTGCTGTCGAGCGAGGCGTTCTCTCTGCTGCACGACATCGTGTCCGTGGACGCTGCTGGGACGGGTGGCGGCAGCGCCAGCGCGCACACGTCGAACGCGTCGTCGCTGGCCCCAAGCGTGAGCAACTCCCGGGAGCAGAGCCCGCACCGGGGCGATGGCGGCCTCGCTATGTTCTTCGCCAAGCCCGCGGCGGCGGTGCCCAGGCTGGCCTGCCCGCTGCCGCTGGGATCCTGGGTCTCGCCGTCGGCCGTGTCGTCCGCCAGGCCCGGCGTGTCCATCGCGCACCTGCCAATGTTCACCGCGTGGACCGACGCATGAACAAACATCCATGGCTTTTAGAAGGGTACGGTGGAGCCGTGGAGGTGGATAGGCAAAAACTGTGGTTCTTTTGGTTTGATTAGGGCATGCTTATTAGCTGGGTAAGGTTTACTAGTTGTGTAGTGCAGCGGTAGTCTAATCAGCATATGTCAGAACTAGAACTCGCCATGCATGGCTGCTCGGCCTCTTGCGATTCCTCCATTTGCGTTGGAGGAGGTTTCTTTTTGTAATGTTGGGGCTAGCAGAAGCTTGGTTCCTCCTATAGCCACACTGATTTGGAGTAGGACGGTTAGTGTTGATCTCCTAACCTAAACTACGAAAACATGCCAAGTTTAAACTTCATCAGTGTGCTGGAATTCACTTGGATGAACTAGGCTAGGGTCGTGGTAGCAGTGCCTTCTACCTTCCCTCTCCGGCGGCGACGGCTTTTGATTTGATCTCTGATGTCGAGGTTCAGTTTTCATACAGTGCTCGTGCTACTCGGCTAGATAGACTGGGCTCGCGGGAAGAGAAAGATGACCGATCGCACTGTTCCCGTGCGTGCAGCGTACCCCCCTCTGAGTCCCTGTCGTCTTGCAACACCTGGACGACAGAGGAGAGCGGGCGGCGCCATGGCCCACCGTCCTTTTCCGCTGTCTCGGTGACGCAGCGCGTGTTGGCCGGGTTGCCGGGAAATCAGCAAGCGCGGCCGGCGTCGCACCGCCCGAAAGCCCGGGTCCGCTCCGCCGCCTCGTCCCTACTCCCGCCTCCCGGGCCCGACTGCCCCGCGTCCGCGTTCCGTCCGGTCATATCTCAGCGAGCGCGCGGCGCGCCAGACCCCCCAAACACGCGGACGCGGCCTAGCTCACAGCGACGCGCGGTCGGCGCTGCTGGTGGTGGGTGGGGTGGGCGGCATGCCGGATGCCGCATGCCGGCGGCACCGCGGCAGCCGCATGTCTCCTGTAGTCCTGTTCCTGTTGTTCCGTCTCCTTCGCCCAAAGACTCCACGCAACACGCTCCATGGGCACCGTGACGGTTACCAAACTACCGTACGGAGTTTCGTGGCCGTGCGCCACACGACGGGCACAATAGGCCCATAAAGGTTCAGCCTGTTTCGTGGAGGGCCTGCTAGGCTTGATTTTCATCTACTAGCGCCAGAACAGGCTAACAACGAGGCCCAGCCCGTGTGGCATTTATTGGTGCCGAGCGATTTTATATTTTATGTTCAGTTCTGAGTCTTCTGACTCGTGACTTGGGTCATTTGGTGGGTGTCGCCGTGTCGTGGCTACGCGCGCAGATACGGTGTACGTACTATACTGTCGTATATGCATTGCTGGACTGGGCTGCCACCTGCCAGCCATTTTATTATAGCTTGGAATCCTTTAGATCGTGCAGTGAAATATTTATACGGGTTTGTACTGAGTGTTGCCCGCTGTCAACTGCGCGTCTTTTACAGTAGCAAGTTATTGCTTTCGCTCACGCTACCCGTGCGTTTTTACTGTCCTGCGTGCCAGCCTGCGTGCTGTTATTTTCTTTTATTTACAAAAGAACTGCACGCTGTCGGTGGCGTAAATACAATACAATCCACGCGCCATGATATTTGTAGCACGTACGAGTACATACGTCGTCAGGAGAAAAAAAAAATCCCCAATCCATACGAAATTTCATTACAAGTCACGAACCGAGTCCGAGAAACGCCCCCAGCCCCAGGCGAGGTCCAGGGCCTCCCTGCAATAATGCATGACGTCACCATCGTCCGAGCAAATTGTGCTACCCGTCAAAGACATTATTGCAGGGAGGCCATGCATTATTGACAGCGGCCACTTCTACCAGATCGCTGGGCTGCGGCCATCATGGCTCGCGTCCGGTCCGCCATGATCGCAAGAGGTCAAGCCCACGTAGCACTGACCGATCAGGGCAATCGCCGGTCCCTTGGCTTGTACGGCACGACGAGGGCTTCCGATTTCCTAACGCCGAGCAGCGTCACTGCGTCAGACAAAGGGAGATGCACTTGATCGCCCATTATTATTCTCTGCGGGCGGCGGAGGGGCCTCAACCACCACCACACACCACCGCACGCGTCCAGCGTCCACGACCGCACCAAACCGTCAAGTGAAACGCGCTTGGCCTTGTTTAGATAACAAGTTTTTTCATTCTCTCTTTATCACATCAAATCTTTAGACATCTGTATGAAGCATTAAATATAGATAAAAAAAATAACTAATTATACAGTTTGATTGTAAATTACGAAACGAATCTTTTAAGATTAGTTAGGCAAACAATAATTATCAAATACAAACGAAATTACTACCGTGCCTGCTCACTGTTCTCGTCCTCGACCCAGGAGAAAATGCCTCGGCACGGCGGACGGCACCAGCTGTCCCGCAGTCGCGGCGACGTGCGGTGCATGGGCATGACGAAGGCAGGGCGACTCGGCAAGGGTCAAGCGTTGCCACCACTTCTACGTAGCCCACCTGACTCTCGGTTACTCACAGCTCAGCTCCAGAGGAGCCCACCTGACCTAAGGATGAGTGTGCCTTTCTTCAAAAAAAATAAAAATAAAAAATGGACTACTACTACCGTATAGAGTTTTAAATAGCTTCACACTTGATGCCTGGCAGCTGAAGACAAACGTTCCATTTTAATCCTAGTCCAGACTTCGGCCACACATTTCTTGACCATGAGATCAGTTGGCCAGGTGTAGCAAGCACATTGTTGTCTTCTAGAAGTATTCGGTAAAACGTCAGTGTTACAGAAGCTTCTCTTTGCTTGACATTTGCTTCGAGGGCAAGGGGAAAAAAACGCCCAGCAAATTTTACATGTCCAGTAAGAGAAAAAGTATGTTCTGCCCGACAGAAAGAACCAGTTTGACCAGCTGCTGGAACCTTGATCCACAGTGATTATGGGCATAAGGAGGAGACACAGATCTTCCAATCATGTGACACTGCGCTCGACAACTCCCAACTTTCCCCAGCGCCAAGCGGGGGGACAGGTACAACAAACACACATGGACAAGCTATCTGGATCTACTCTCAATTTCACAAGTAGAGCAAGAGATCAGCAGCGTCCAGCAGCATTTACCAGGACGTCTTCTAATCCAGTGGCACTTCTGTTTGCCTTCACCAATCGTACAGGCGAACAAGTGTGTGCTGTTACATCCTTGAGACAGATCCACACATGAGCACCAAAAATTTGTTACAAAAGAATGGAGGGGGGCCTCGAAGAGCCCCGACGCAAATTTTACAGGCCGAGGAAACTGTATCTACACCTCCGAGGCGGAGGAGGGTTCCTCTTCACGTGTGGATGGGCCTGTTCGCTTGGAGTAATTTGGATGGTTTGGAGAAATGCTGGGAAATTTGTGAAAGAAAAACACTGTTCCAGATGAAAAAAGAAGCGGATCAAGCCGGGTTGTCGTCATGACGTGCAGCCAGGACAGATCCGGAAGGCACAGCTGCACAATGCATATCTTTCGAATCTCAGCCAAGGGCTGCTGCCACGTCCATGGCAGTGAGCCAGTAACACATCCCCCCTCCCGTCCCCTCCCCCCCGCACCCCCCCGTTTTCCACACCTATCAATTTCTGTTTTACACATTTTACTCGACCTGCTCGCCTATGAGGTCAAGGCCTACTAACAAGAAGGAGATGCCCTGGAACAGGAGGAAGTAGAAGTGTATACCCTGCTTCGAGAGCAAGCTTCGGGCGGCCGCGGTTAGGAGCAGCATCGAGAGCGCGAGCTCCTTCTTGTATATCCGGTTGTGCTTCTTTTTCGCGTCCTTCTTCGATGCCAGCTGCTCCTTTGCGACCGCGTCGAGGTTCGGTGCAGAGCCTGTCTTTAGGTGCTTCAGCTCCTTGGGGGCCAGGGAAATGAGATCGCCCTCTGATGAGCGGCCTGATTTCTTGGTCACCACCCACTCGTATGCGCTTCCGAGCTGGAACAGACCGGAGATCATGGCGTTGAACTTTGTCACGGACATGGTGTTCTCGAAGAGCAGGTATGGGATGATGAAAGGGAATGACTTCGGAGAAGGTAGGATGTTGAGCAAGGACATCAGGGCAGGAATGTAGCACACGACCCAGTCAGGAAGCTCGGCTTCAGGCACAAACATCGTCATCGGGAGGATGATGCAGAAGAGCATGAAGGAGTAGAAAGGTAATATGAGCTTTCGAAGCAGGAAAAAAAGGAAAATCAGGTTGGCTTTCTTCCAAAATGCAATCTGCAGCAAAGTGAAAGAAAGTGAACAATAAATTAGAAGTCTGGAAGGTAAATTATGTTCATAACAATAACTAAAAGATAACTGAGGAGCAAGTTAATAGAGTATCATATTATAGTCTACAAATAGAGGTAACCAAATGATGACAGCATCTTAAAAGTGCATCAACCTAAGTAGCACTGTGGAAAGGCACATAATGTAGAGTACAGGTTCTAAGCAATGAATTGGATGTATCCAGACACTCAGATCAAAAGCATCACACACAAAACATCTAGCTTTTCATGCTTTTATTAGCATGTACATCATTGGAGCACACTCTAGGCACGGACAGACGTGTCCCATAGCCAAAGAAAATAAACCATTGCAAGGATGTATTTTATTAGCATAATGCGATCTTACTAAACATTATGTTAATTGAACAGGATACGCCGACGGCCAAGCATGCTATTGGAGTTGAGGTTAAGCGAAGTTGTTAAAGAAGCAACAATAACACCTTAAAATTCAAGATATACACCAAAGAAACATGTAAACAAGGATTGCAGTGACTGATAATTCGTTGTAATCATTACTGCTACAGATATTAATCGAATAGTCGCAAATAGAATCCAATGCTACATCATAGCACCCAAACATAAACCATATTTGTGCTGACAACTACAGTTCCTTTAAATCATAATAACTACTATAGATATCGTAAATTCCTTGCCAAAAAGGACATCATTAAATTTCCTCTTTAACGGCACAACTTCAATTATTAAGTAGTGGCTAAGGGATAAGGTAGATTCAAAGAGCATTGCAATACCTTGCATT